ATTAGTACGTAGCAAATTTAATGTCTATCGAAACAAGTTCAAAGCAAGTAGCTATGTTGACTTTTGGGGGCAAACTTCAAAAATCTGAAATACTCCCAAAAACATCCTTTACAAAACATGATCTCAATTGGAGATCTGGTCTCAGTTTTCAACCATTGCGAACTATGTATTAAACGAGTAAGAAAATGGTAGAATTTGATTAAATAAATGAACGATACCTTGCTTTGGAAAGTTGTTGATTCTGGCCCAGTTATGAAAAAATTTACAGTACCAAACTAATGCTAAAAACTTTGTTGTCGCAAACCTCTTGTACGAATGTTTTTTAACATATCGATCGAAAGCGATCCTTTGCTGAACACCCCATATAAAACCGAAACAGCGAATCTCCACTAATTTGAAATTCATACATGCAGAAAATATACCGTAAGTTACACATGTACCTACTTAAAAAGTAACAGATTCATACATCAATTCGTAAGCTTTCCACCTTCATTATGAAAATCAATTTGTCACCATTGGTACTGAGTGATTAATCTGAGCGGTGCAGCAAATCGACTTTGCCAAAGCATTAGCCTGAATTTTCATTTTGATTAACTCGTTTTACTACTTTGGTTTGTTCAGATCAAATGCAACCGTTATTGCAATCTTTTGTAACATAACATATCTTCGACAAACATATTTCGATAATAATGTTAAAATAAAAATGCCCATGGTCACTGACCCAAAACCATCAATAGGATTTGATCCATAGAAAAATCACGAATACTGCAGGGAGAAATGCACAATCAGAGGGGTCGTATCCGCTAATCGGATTAATATTTGTTCCGGCAAAAAAAGCCATCTTCCACACATTATAAAGAGTGACAATAACCTTCGTGTTTATTTTCAGCATATGAATTTGTATGTAAATGAATGATAATATCTGATGGAGGCGTTTTGCCGATGTTTTGCGTATATCACAATTAAGCACTGTTCTATCGATGGTCGTTGATTTATGCACTCCATTAATGGCATTCGGAATTAAAACCCCTGTTTTCATCTGCTTTTTTACGCCATATGTGTATTCCATGTATGAACTGCTATTTACATAATGAGTCGAATACAAAATGATAATTATTATTTACGAGTGTTTGGCCACTACATAAAAATATGCGTATTCTCAATGATTTGTTTCGATTAAGTGCTTTGGCTGACTTCAATTTCCATCTGCTAGTATTCAGTGGCCAGTGTCTTTTCATGACATATGCAGTATTATCGAAGGAAAAAAATCTAACGGCCTATTTGCCACACATGTTGATGTCCAATGAAGGTAATTTTCCGCTGGTTCTGGTCGAACGATCGTTCGGTATGAGCGCGGTATGGTTCAAATGGTCTTTTTTTAGAAGCCCGCTTCCGAGGCGTAATTTGGACACCAGTTAAATGAAAAGCAAAGTGAACAAAAAAGATTAGTTAGCTAGTTTTTGGGATCCGTATAGGTATGCCACGATATGGAAAATAATTAAGGTTCTAATTAAATAGGCTGCATACATCCGGAATATTCTTGGATATTGTAGAAGCTGCAAGTAATATTCTAAATCGGTTTGATAAAAATTGCGGATGCGTATGGTTAATTATTGACTGGGGCTTCTAGAGCATTAAATTAACGAAACTTGCTGCACCAAGATGAAACTCGAATATGTTGGAACCATTATCTATCCTCCATCAAGTGATGTCGTCCCTGCAGGTCGCTTCATAATTTTAACATAAATTAATGCCAACAGGAACAACCACTCTATTACTACTGGCAGTTTGAATAACATTTAAGCAAGGTGGTTCAATGACTTGAAAATATTAAGCACGGTGTTATAGATGTTAAAATCGATATCACAAACTCGCTGTCGGGAAATGACTTGGCGAATTTGAGGGCACCTGGACACCCTCCGCTATTTATTCCATTCGACATTGATGTCAGCTGCGGATCCATTATATTAGATGAATACGCGTTTTGTGACGCGCCGTACATTAGCTTTACTCTCAACCATTTCACTAATTATTATAAAACAACATATCACCTCTATCGCGACATTCGAATACACCTCTCGGTACTTGATTGATACGTTTTGTTCATTTGTTAATTGCTCCCCGACTGTTGGCTCAAATCAGCACGTAGTTTCCTCCTAGTTATTTAGCGATCTGGGTAGCTAACACTATTTATTGATCAATCTTTCACTCAGATACTGTCTAATTTAACGTTTGATTGGATAAGGCGGATAGTTTTGTTGATTTTACAAAACATGTTTTTTTGTGTTATACCTTCCAATGCTCGGTATGTATTAAATGGACAAAACATATTGGATTTATTGATCAAAAAGGACCAGAAATTTGAAACTCAATTTACAAGAACAAGGCCGGCAGATAGTATTTAATACGCTCTTAAGTTTTTAGAAATATATCACCTGCTAACACATGGATAATCAGAAATAACCCAGTTCCTAACAAGTTTCTTGCAGTTTCTAGTGATATTCTGTTCGACCATACTACTATGCAGCAACAGTGTCTTTCTTAAAGAAATACACTCATGGACAAAAAACCTGGCACGATAAATATAAAGCAATTTAAATCTTAGTTAGCTTTTTTAGTTTCGATTCGAGTTTGATTTTGGGCATTTTCATCTGAATCACTAACCATTATGAATTTTGTTATAAGTTGGAACCAGTTTGTCATTACAGAGGGTGAAACCAAGAATGGCATTTTTGCCTGAATTTGAACTTGTAACGCGCTTGTGAACACCCTGTGGAACAAAATAAAAGCGCAATGCGATATGCATATCTGCATACCATTATTAAACTTTGTGTTTACTGAACATACACTTTTAAAGGAGTTTTCTTAACAAAATGATGCAAATTATTTCGTTTCATAAATTTTTCAAAAACTTATTAACAAATGTAACTTATTTCAGAGTTCATCAACTCTCATATTATCATGAATATGAAAAGGAAATTTGAAGCGAAGATGAAGCTTAACAACCGCAGGCACATATATGCCATTGCGACGATATTTTCTTCCACAGGGTGTTTTTGCTTCACAAATTTAGGTAAAATATTGGTTAAAAGACTTGGTGTTAGTCCTATATATAATTTCAAACTAACTACAAACTTTTGACAAAATTCATACTGGTTAATTGTTGAGAATTAAATGCGAACAATAACTCAAAAAAAAATTTCAAAATTTATTCAAAACTATATAAACTTCGGAAGATGCAAATTGAATAATGTTTATCGTGTGCAGTTTTTTTTTGTTCAAGAGTGTATTAATGTGTATTCATCACAGCAATCGTGTATTTTCGGCACTTTTAATATTTCTCCAAAAGTACAATTTTGAATTGTGAATTTTTTTTTCATAGTGGTTTACGACAATTATATTTTTCATATAGGGGAAACTGAATTTACTTGCGTAAAAATTTCCGATTGTTGCAATACTTTCTAGATCAACTGTTTATTTTTCATGCGCTGAAACCTGAAAAAGACCAGATTTTAAAATATTATCATGTATAATAGATATTACTTGTTTTATTTTAAGTTTTTTATTTAAAGTTGTGCGCTGGTATAAATAAGACTAGTTCTTCATTAGCAAATATTTTTGGCAGATAAGTTCTATATGGTTGAGACGGATACAGTCCAAAGCCACTTGGCTAAACGTTTTATTGGCTCTAAACACAAAAACGAACTACCCCAAGTTGAATTATTTATATGTACTTTCGAGGGGTTTTTATTATTGCTAAAGATAGAAAATTAATGGTAAATGTTTCGGGGCGTTTAAGTCGAAACAAAACGGTGAGCTTAAGCTGAGCCGCGATCCAACATGTGACAGGTATGGGGGTAAACGTAGACAAAGAAGGGAAAACGAAGTGTTTAACGTGCCCGGCAGGAAAAATTGATAGAATTTTCGTAGAAGGGTGTTAAAGCAAGGAACTCTGAAAGCGGGGCTTGGCACAACCAAATAACGTGTTGCAATTTCTGTGACCGAACTAATACGTGTAGTGCATGAAGATGTATAAGATGGGATCACGTAATCTATTTGTGGCCGGGATGCTCGCAAAGAACTGACGTGCGCTGAAGTCCAATATATATTTCGTGTCGTTCAAGCAAAAACTAGATTAATAACTACGACATTTTAGATACGTGACCAGCGGCCGAGTCGAGGTCTTATGGATTTGCCCGAAGATTTAGATCCACTAGAGCGCGTTTCGTATTAATTCGCTCAATTGGCATTCGTCGATACGCTCCCGATAATTATTACACCAGAAAACTGCTACTTTATACACAATAAAACCCGCCGTTTTCCGTCATCTGTTCTTCAGCTTAATTCGGGCATTAAGATAACAAACCCAACTTAATGCTTCAACCTCTTAATTTATGTATGTGAGTAATTGAGCATTTACATTCGATATCGATATAAGTGCTTGGGCTATTGTGCTTGCATGCTCTATTAGTGTCATAGAATTGCTTGTATTTACGTTCGTTTTAATGCGATAGTGATTCAATAAATATATGAAAATATGATATTCACTGGACAACCATCATTAGAAACAAGCATGCTAGCGCTTAGCGAATTCTATTTATGTTTAGAGTTCGTCTTGCAAATATCGCCAAAACCTGAGCAAATTACAAAATCTGAAGTCGTCGCTTAATGAGTAAAACTTAGACACTGATGACGTATTGCGTGATTCCGATATATGAAGACCCCCTTTCACTTTAATTAAAAATACGTAAATTGTCCCATTTGGGACAAGTAGGGAAACGATTTCTTTTGAACTTTGGTATGTTCTAACTGGAAGAGAATGGCCGTCGAAAGTTGTAGCTTTTTGAAACAATTTGTCAAATAACCAAGTAACGCAAAATGCAGTGAAGAGTGATGATCGAAAATGAGTTAGTAAAATGTACTTCAGAGTGTTGGTCGTCTAGATGTAGGTACACTTCACAAACCTGACGGACAGCTGTGGCAATATATCCTATACATACCCATAGCGTCTGAAACAAACAAAGTTACTTTAGAATATTAGCATGCAATGTAAACTGAAAAAAAGAATAGTCGCAAAATATTGACAGTCAACGACGAATCGGCTTTGATAATATTTCCTTAATACGTTTGCTTCTCAAATGCTATTTAACAAACAGCACCTTTGTAAATCGGCAGTTACGAGTAATGTCCAATAAATATGGAAATAATGGCAAAACTGGGAAAATCCCTTTTATGAATGTAACTCACGTTTTTAATTTAAGCCAATAGAAAGTTGAAAATTAGGTCGGGAAATTTATTTGAGTGAAAAGCAGGCCGTTAAGGTCTTCCTGGGGGTCATTATGATAATGTGTTGGGTTTTTGAGACGGGGAGCGCTACAGAATTAATCTAGTTCTGAACGATGTAATCAGGGGCTATTATCACCCCGCGTATTTGGTTAAAAAAGCAATACCATTTCCACAATTACCAACGTAATAGGCCATCGTCTCTTCCTTGATCAACACATAACAATTCGAAATTCGGGGGGATCCTCCATTTTATTTTTTTCGACGAACTAATAACGACCGCGAATTAATTCGACTAACCCGAGAGGTGGTTGCTTTTAATAGCAATGTCTAGACTGAGCCAGAATCGACAACATTATTCAAATAACCACCATTGGAACTATTCATATTAGTTTTTGCCTGGGTATTACTTCCGCAACATCACAGAAAAGTATTGAACTCCTCAAAAAGGAATCATGATGGAAGTTGAAGGAATGTCGGAAGAAGCAATTACTACCTTTCCCTTCACCTATTACGAAGGAAATAGACAGAAACCTTTAGACAGAACCAAATAGGAAACATAAACCTACTGCCATCCGCTTCATGCATTCATTACTATATTTGTTCGACTAAACAAAACACACACAAAACGTGGGTATATATATCAGATATCAATGGAGATATTTGCACATTCCAAATATGAAAGTACTGTATCAATCGTATATGGAAAAAACGATATTATAAAGCCTAAAGCTATGATGTAATGGACCCGAAATACATATATTCTCAACATCTGGACTTCGGAAGAACAGCTGGAACAAATGAGCCAGACAGCTCAGAACACGCTCAACCCAGAACCAGTGGTTTCAAACCAATTCTTCACTCAACGATTTAACATCAAGTTCAGCTTTCTGGAGAGTATGGCTGCTCCTTAAAGCATACATGCCTTGTTTCAAGAACGATTTGATTTCTTGAAGCCAATTGATAAAAAACGTGGTTCAATTATCACAGCCCTAATGAAAGTAGAACAAGCCCGCAATTAGTTGGGTAATATTTCGCGAAAAATCATTTCCAACAGTTATAGTTTGTTTTAATGACCAAATGGAAAAAATGTGTGCCTGCACACAAATAGGCTGGAAGGTTTTATTGCCTGCCACACCTACTTTTGCCACAACTCATTTGGTTTTTGCGTTGTTGCCACTCGCGGCTCTGCGGTCCATTTCGAATCATTTTACTTACATCAATGTAAGGGTGGCTTCTTAATTACGTTTCCAGCACGAATGGCATTTCGTTTTTAATTAAATTACCTAATGACCGTGGCGAAACGGTATTATACTAGGCTTCTCTCGTGTTTTTTTTTCGTTCATGTGGTTTAAGCAGTCACGATTCCGAAAATCGACTAGATTGGTCTGTCGATTGAACTACAGTTATGTTAGAGTTGGAGGCTTTGTAAGGCGGTCGATCAATTTTGCTAATCTTGAGCTCGATAAGTAGGTACGTATTTCCAATGCACTTTTATGATAAAAAGTTCTACAGGGTGACTCAAAATTGGCGTTATTCCTCTAGAGATGTTCTCTGGCGCTGTTATAGGAGTACATAAAAAATAGTAAAAGAAATTAATTGTAAATAAAAACTGAGAAATTTACAAAAAACTATATGAAAAAAGACGGCAACAATGTTTTTCAAGGTAATCTGCCTAAGTAACATTACGGAAATACATATTGCTTCATAATTATTAAAACTTTAAAAACTCCGGTAATCATGGAATTATACAGAAAGTGACGATAAAATAGACAAGCATAAACGGTAAATCCAACAGAATTCGTTGAATGTCAAACGTATTTTTTCGAAATGTCAATTCCTGTCCTCGTAACCTCGAATTTATGTTTACAAAGAAAAACACATTTGGGTCATAAATTTGAGCTGGCGCAGTGCTACGCAAATGGTTTGATGTGCCAACACAACGCACTGGTGCAGTAACTCAATTCCGCTGCTGGGAAAATGTCGATGACTTTTTTTACTTGTTTTTATAATTTATTTTAAGAGCCCTTTATTAATAATATTTTTAAAATTTCTTCAAAATTTCAGAATTTACCAGTTTCAGTCAAGTTACTTTCTTCTAAATGTTTTCAACTCCACTTTCTAAAGTTTCACTTAAAATTCAGACAATCTTAAGATATTTTCGCCTTGTGAAAAGTTTTGAAATCTTTTTCCAGTTTCGAATTTGTAACAAAAATTAAATGTTTTTCTATCAAAAAACGAACACAATAAGCGAAAGTTTGTAACAGATTTGGAAATCTCGTCACCTCCATACCTGTGAAAACTGTAGAGTTGTTAAAAAAATATGGTTTTGTAATTTTGATTGTATTTTTTTCTTGCTTTACTTTCTACTCAAAAACGCTTCATTTTGTAGAGTTTCACTTAAAAATACTGACGAACTGGAGGTTTTTTACGCGAAAAATGACAAGATACATCTATAGCTTTGTAAAAATTTTACAAAAACTTTTTCGTCGTCGAATTCGGGACAAAAACGAAAATCAATTCCTCCCGTTTTTTTCCAAAACTGATCATAAAACTAAAACTTTTGAATCGAAAACGCAAAAAAAAAATGTTGATTGATTTTTTCTGACAATAATGAGGTCTTAATGAGAGAAAGACAATAATGACGCCAAAAATGACAAAATTAATTTTGCTAGAAAATTCGACTCATTCATCGGTTTGCAGGGAACTTTAGAAAACCCATTTCAGCTTCGATTTGGGCACAAAAACGAAATAATTAATTCAGTTTTTTACCGAAAGTAATTAAGATTATCTTGAAAAAACGACCAAAGAGCAAAAGTTAAAAAAAAATTATTTGGAAAACTTGCCGTCGTTATTGCTCTGAATATTTTTATAGTTTCTTTAAATTTTCAGGTCATTCCAGTTTTAACAAAATTTCTATTAAGCAATTCTTTTTACGCAAAAATCGCATTATTTTTTAGTTTTACTTAAAATACTGACAATTTTCAGGTATTTTCTATGAGAAATTATAGGATACATTTTATTGAAACACTCGCCTGCTTAACCCCTTTGCAAACATTTTTGGAAAACTTTTTGCAGCTGCGAGTTATGGAAAAAAACCTAATAATTACTTCTGGGTCTTTTTCCAAAAATATTTTCCCGAACTGAAAGAGCGAAAGTTTATAATCATTTATCAGAAAAACTCTTGAAAACTGGGGTTTCTTCACTTTCAGGTCACTATTTCTAAACAACACGACCTCTAAGCAGAAAACCCGCGGTTTTCCTAAAGTTTTACTGTAGAACCGAAAAACCGAATCTTTTATGCAAAAAAAATGAGAGATTGATTTTCCAAGAAAACTCGTCGACTTTCTTTGGACTCAGTTCTCTTGCTGGGAAAATCTACAATACTTTTTTTAGTTATTTGAACAAAGTAGTAAAACGTTACTCAGAAAACATGTGACCTTTTTTTAGATGTGAAAATTCCAGTCCCGGGTCTCGTAAATCTGACGTATAGCGGCAACAACGCAATAGCGCATCTCAACACAGTGTTACTCAGGCCTACTCTATATTATTTGCTGCAATTGTCTCATTTTCGACGGCCGATTCCCAGTACTTTTCGGCTTTCGGTCTGCGTGGATATTTGTGCAACTGAATGGAAAATGGGTGGGTGTTTCACTATGATGCAAATTTGGAAAAATAATTGAATTTAGCACAATGCGCGATCTGGAAGGAGCCAGTCGTAAATCGCGTTTCTCGTTCTTTTCTTTGTGTTGTAGCACCGAGTGTCGAAAGTAAACATGTTTGTTGGCGTCCATCGTTGTTCCCTCGTCGAATTCCTTCTTGGCATCATTAGAAATAACCCAAATGTTTCCTTTCTGTGCCAGGGATAGAAATTTATAAAAGCGAACAAAAGGCATTCAGAGATTTACGGTTGTGATAGGCGACCAGAACACATACAACTTCGAATACGGCAAAAGCAAAGCGTCGAACCGCGAGCTATTCAAGAAAGGGCGCCCGTGGCCTTTTGTCAGGACGCCTCCTTGCTAGTTTGTTATCTGTATGTCTAAGACGCCGACGTCCACCGTCACCTTCGCTTAATTAAACCCCAAAGCGACGCCGTCTTATCAGATTTCTGACAAAAGATGTATTTACATCGCACGGATCGGATTTATGTTACCGACACGACGCCAAACTATCCTAATGATAAGTTTCGATGCTGGGGGCGCTCTAATGTTATGCCTGTGATGCTCCCTCGTCTGCATTTTGAAATTCAGATTAGTTTGGAAAAAAGCAAAAGCGGGCGCCTATTTTTTTACGCCCATACCCAAAACCCATCCACCCCAACACGCCATTGTCGGCTGACGTTTTTGCCTTGTAATGGAAAATAATGCGATGGCCATCTATCAACACTTTCCGAACGAAGATTTAGAGCCTTCACAATACAGATTATTCAAATCGACTTTTTTACTTTAGATCAAATCGGTCCAACAAGTGTTTTGATTTGTTTCCTTGCGACTTTTTGTGAGAACGTGCTTAGTTATTTAAAAAAATATATATTTTTACTGTCAAATTCTAGAAAAATGGAGACGCAGTTTTTTTTTATTGCGTCGTATAGGTTGCATTGCATGCATTGCATTGCGTTGCATTGCATTGCATTGCGTTTTATTGCATCGTAAGGAAGATGGTCCAAAATTATTTTTTGAGCTAGACTGGCACGAAAGAGGGCTTAAATATATAGGAATAGTGT